CTCAAATAAATAAATAAATAAATAAATAAAAATTAAAATAAATAAATAAATAAATAAAATTGTATTTCTGTTCCCTATAGCAAAGCACTTCTAGAGCACTTTCCTTCTATACACAAAAGTACAATGTTCTTTTCCTTTTTTTCTGGCAGAAATTTTGCTTCAGTTGAAAGAGACTGAGACTCAGTGTTTGCTTTTAAGTAGGTAATACTTCTTTGCTGTCTACTGGTTGCGATTTCATTTTAGCTCTCAGATTTTATGCTGTGTTAGAGGAAATATGCATCATCAAGCTAGTGATTTAGAAGTAATTTGTTTTAGGATAATTTCCCTTTTGTGTTTGAAATAAGCAGCCACAACAGGTCAGCTTTTTGTCAGGTTCAGCCCTCCCTACCCACACTTTCTCAGTTTTTTCTACTTTGTCAAGAAGTCTCCCTAAACTTCTAGCTCCTCCAAATGTAGCCATTCTTGAAATCTAGGATTCCTCATAGTAAGATTCCAAATAATATACTGTTTACTGATCCTAGGACTCCACAATCTTTTCCTCACATCTCACTGCAATTATCCCAAGAGTTACTTTACTTCTCATTACTTTATTTTTCTGCAAGTGAGAATTGTAAATAAGGTATCAGGTCTTCCTAAGTGACTCATCAGTAGTTCCTCACCCTTGCATGGCCTCCTTATGCCAATATGATTACATATTTCCTTTTCAGAATGAAGTGGTCTATGTGACAGCAATCAGTGGAAGCAGAAAAAAATCCAGCTACCTGCACACAAGTTACCATGTTACACAGAACTGACTTTGGTGCAAATCTGAATAGTTCTCCTTCATAGGTTTTCCAGAACCTTTAGGCCTCTGGGAAAATGTCTGTGTGGTGAAGACACTGATAAATTCTATAACTATCTAAACAGGTAGCTTATTATAGCATTCATACTTACAGACACAAATTAGTCATGATAAAGGCTGTGTAAGAAAAAATGGACCACATATCTCCTAGAAGTAGCACAAAATGATTTATCCTATATATCAGTGTCTGAGAATGTCTTTTGAACATTACTGCATAGCTCCAGAATAATAGTTTGTACTCATGAAAGAATACAGTACGGAGTCTTAAAGAAAATGTTATAATTAATAGAACTCATATAAAGAGGATAACATAGTACTACCTATTCCTTTTAAAACTGATATTCTAGGGCCGGGCAAATAGCTCAGCTGATTAAAGCACAGGGGCTGGGGGTTTGATCCCTCGGCCTACTGTGCTGGCCCTGCCCCTGGGGTGCGCTGAGATGGTAACTGAGACTGGGGGTGGTAGTGTGCACCAGTAATCCCAGCTCCTGGGAGGCTGTAAACAGGCAGATCACTACGAGTCCAATCTACGCAATGAGACCCTGAACACCCTGTAGACCCTTCCCTAAAAAACAAAAAAGAAAACCAAATCTGATATTCTAAGAATGATAGGACTCATCACTCTCAGACTAAACACCTGTAGAACGATACTCATTCCCTAAAAATCTTACAATAGCTTAACAGATAATCAAATATATAATGCTTCATTTCTTATATATATAGCATCTCCTAAAGTACATTCTAGGATTAGTATGTTATTTTCCCAGTCATGGCAACAACAAAAACTTGATCTTAGTTAAGTATTTGCTTTGCCGTTCTTAATGATATATAATAGAAGCACAGAAAAGTAAAATGTCATGTAAGCAGGTTAAAGAAATAAGTGTCATCAACATTATGTCAACTTTAAAAAGAAAGATTCAACAAAAAATCTTAACTTTTAAGATTTTTTTAATGATACCTCCAGTCCTACAAATACGATTTTTAAAATGTGAAATAATTTAGTCCTATTCACTTACCTTCTCTATCTTTCAACTGTAAAAAAGATGAATCTGAAAATACAACATATGGTTATGGGTATAGCTCAGGAGTTGAGTGTGTACTTAGGATACTCAAGGCCCTGATTTAATCTCCAGCAATGAAACAATCCCCAAAAATCAAAACCAGAAAAGTTGACTGAGTGGGGTGGTGCAGGCCTATAATCCCAGCACTCAAGAGGCAGGCAGGAAGACTGCTTTGAGTTCAAAGCTAGCCTAAGCTACAAAGTGCATTCAAGGCCAGCCCAAACTGCATACTGAAATCCTGTCTCAAGACAAACACAAAACAAAACAAAACAAAACAAAACAAAACAAAACAAAACAAAACAGAAAAGTTCCTATAGTATGGTACTTTAAATTACCAAAACTAACTAACATGAACACATTAATCTACTTTTCTAGTAGGGTAAAACACCACACCCAGAAACTCTTATAAAAAGCAGCAACATATGTGAATTAATCTAGTACAAACTGTTTCTTAGAAAAATGGCAGCATGTATTCAGACATATTGCCACACTGGAAATGCAGAAAAACAAAGCAAAGCAATTTTATTCACTTAACTGTACCTGTTCATCTCTTTGTCTCCATTCTTGCCAGTTTTCTTCCCGTGAATCCTTTTGCACTGGGTTTGACAACGGAAAATCCTGTTGAGCATTACAAATGGCATGGGAGGATTTCTGGGGAATCTTCTTAAAAGCAAGATTCCTAAGCTATAAAATAAAACATTAAATTTAACTGTCAATCTTGATCAATAACTTTTTGGAACTTAAAAAATAAGCAGTACATTTATATTTTACTCTAAATACTCTTGTTAAGATTAAAGCGCGAGGGGCTGGAGAGATGGCTCAGTGGTCTAAGGCACCTACTTAGAACAAGCTTGGCAAAGCATCAGGGACCGCGGTTCAATACCCCAGCACCACATG